ATATTTAAGAACTAAGTTCATTGGTTTGCGGGAAAGGTCTGATAATTTTCAGATGGAAGATTTTCAGTAAAATCACTTGAAATACATTCTTTCATCTTTGCATTGGTACCCCTTTCTTAAAATGAATCATTTTAAAACTTTCTTGAAATCGACTTAATAGAAAATGTTCCTACAGATTAGTTTCAGCTCAAGATTTTCCCATTAATAATGTGGATTTCAAGCCCCATCTTCCGACCCCTGAAAATACTGCTCGTTTGTACTAATTATTCTTTCAGGTCTTTGTCTCTGGATCAGGAATATCTTTCTACATTTAATACAGTATGTGGGTTATAATAAGTAGCTATTGAACACCAATGGCATATTAAAGACATGTGAGGATTAGTTCAAGCTAGGTTCAAACATTTCATATTCTAAATATCTTCTCTTCCTATGTTATTAACCTGCCTTGAAATGAACAGAAATCTTTTTTCTCCCTGTGTATTCATCCTCCTGTGGTTCTGTCTCATTGAGGATGTCCTCACATCACTAGAAATACAGTACTTTCCATTTGCTCTGCAAACTATTAAACAAGCACAATATTGACTTATGAAAATTGTAAACTAATTTGTTAGAATTGGGTTAAATGCAATGTTGTATAAATGAAAAATGTTGTTTAGCTGCTTCTTTCCAAACATTATCAGAAACCTTGCATAGCATTCTTTTTAAAACACAGAGGCTTCAATATAAAGGCTGAGTCATTTTAGTAAACTTTTCTATGTTGTATAAATGAAAAATGTTGTTTAGCTGCTTCTTTCCAAACATTATCAGAAACCTTGCGTAGCATTCTTTTTAAAACACAGAGGCTTCAATATAAAGGCTGAGTCATTTTAGTAAACTTTTCTTTTTTTTTTAATTGCTATATTCTTAGGGTAATTTTTTTTCACTTTATTTTACTTTAGAAAATCATGTAGTTGAAAGTACAAGAAGAAAGTTGGAATGCTTAAAAAATAAGAATTAATGCAGTTTTGTGTATTGCCATAACTTATTTTACATCTATTTGAAAGAAATTTGGCTCTCCTGAAAAGTCAGTTCCTATAGAAACTTATGGTTGAAAATCAGCCCTTTCTTTGTTTCTTTACCCCTGTCACCTTTGCTGCAAGAATGGAGTTTTGTACTCTTTCCTGTAATTTGTTGTTCTGTGCATGACAAGACATGGTTAACAATATGTTCTACTGGAAACTAAACCTCTTACACAGATGTCTCATGGCCCTCAGTTTAAGTGCCTATTTGTATGTGGGAAAATAATGGCAGAGCCAAGAAAAAGAGTGTTTTGTTTTCAAGAGGTATAAAATGCTCTAGTTAGACATTTGCAGCATTTAGAAGTAGAACAGAAGAAGGGATTCAAAAATATATCATCTCATATTATTCCCTTCTTTTCTTAGATATTTACATTCAGAGCAGCTTTGATAAAAAGTAAGTTAAATATGCTTGCAAACATATTAAATAAAAAGTAAATAATCTCGTTTTTACTACTGGACAAAGTAATTGATTTTCCAGTCACTTCTTTTATTGTTGTTTAACTAAGTCTCCCTGTTCCAATCTGTAATTAATTTTAAACTCCACCTCCCATGCCAACTGATGTTTCTGTTCCTTATTACAAAACACAGTTCTGAAATAAATTTACTTGTGGTCACACAAGCAATGCATTAGACGAAATCATCTCCTTGCTGGGATCTAAATTATAAAACAAAATAAAGCTAGCACATGATATAATCCACTCAGCTTCTTCTTTTCTAACTCTCTGTTTTATAACTTCAGAGAAAAATTAAACAAAGTAACTTAATTTTATATGTCTAGATGTGCTTACAGCTTACTTTTTTATTATTTTTGTTTCCATTCTTCTAATGTTAAACCATGCTGACCTGAAAGAATCTCATTGCTGTGGCTAAAAAATAATGCAAATCATGCTTGTCCTAATACTATTTTTGGAGTAAAAATGCTTACCTAAAGAATTTAATTAAATTGTTCATTTAACTTGAGTGACGTGATTTTTTTCTTTTCTCTTCTTTCTAAATCCTTATCTGAGAAAAGGTGTTTTTAATCTGAAAATCTGAAAATCACAGATGTGATATGTAAATTATCATAACGTTTTTGTTACTTTAGAAAGTTGAATATTTTGTGAGTGTGGTTCAGTTTCCAACTTAAATATGTTTGGTTTGGCAGTCAGTGTTTGGAAAACATACGTTTTTATTAAATATGTTTCTGTTGCTTATGCATTTATCATACTATCTTAAAATATATTAGATGAGTTAACAAAAAGTTCTCTGAAAGAAGTATCTGTAGACATTACAGATGGATAATTTCAATTAAAAATGTTGTTTCTCATGGACAAAGTAGATTCTGCTTATTCTTGTCCCCACCAGAAGAAAAAAAGAAAACTTTATGTATTTCTAGATGTTCCTTTGTTTTATTCTGAACATTTATAGATGTTCCTTTGCTTTATTCTTTATAGATATATGATTTTTATGCCTCCAATTAGAAATTTCCTTTAGGTTGGTTAATATAATATTTTATTCTGCCAAAAATAAAAATAATTAGAAAACTAGAAAATTAAAACATCGTATATCTAA